TAAATGTAATTTGTCCATTAAACAAATAAGTGCAAGGTTAAAAAATATATATATTTTGGTATATTTAATTAAAAATATCCTGGCCAGGATATTTTTAGCCAACCCACTCGTGAAATATTTCCTAACAAGTTAAATTTCATCCATTAAACAGATGGGTGAAGGTCGTGCCCTTGTCGGATCTCCTATGATAATTTAAATCCGATTTCAAAAATTTTCAAGGTTTTGCTTTTATGTGTCAAGTGCAATAATTTTACCAAGTTTAGTGCAAATTGGTCGAACAGTTACCGAGATACACAAATTCAAAAATTCGCTTCAGTATTTACCGATTTATCGAAGATTTCGTATTTCTCTAAATTACTGATATATGGGATGTGGGCGTGGTTATTGCCCGATTTTAAATTTGTAGCCGTTTGATATCTTTTACCAGGACTAATAACTGTTCAAGTTTAGGAGAAATTGGTAAAGCGGTTGCGGAGATATACACATGTAAGAATAAGTAAGCGGGGCTACGCCCATTAAAAAAAAAAAAAATTATAATCATGCAATTTGAATTCAAAGTAGAGCTCTCGACTTTGTTCGCACATTTTCAAACAGCCCGGGTATATGAGCAGCGAGTACTCGCACACTTGTTCAATGCTCATTACTCGAAAATTTTCGAGCATGAGCTCGAGCAATTCGAGTTTTTTCGAGTAATTTGAACAATGTTTTTTTTATTATATTGACATTTTTGGTAGAAACTTTTTAAATTTTTCAATTATTGATATATAATGCAAGGATTGTTACATTGATATTTAATAATATAATTTATTTAACATGAATTAGAAAGCAGCTGCTGACAAATACAATTTACAAATTTTCTTTTGTTTATGAAATTGTTCAAAAACTCGAAAATTTTGAACAAACATTTGAGCAGTTGAGCAATGAACGAGTTTCGAGCGAGCATCGAGCGAGCATCGAGCTACTCGCATTGCTCGATACCCGGGTATCTAGAGCTCTAATTCAAAGTGGGTTTGGTTGAAATTCACTCGGAAGTGAATTGCAGAACCTGCCTGAGTATTCTTATTTTCCACCTAAAAATTGTGTAAATACCAATTTTGAGTGATGAAGCTTGAGTATATATTAAAATCGTATTTCTGAAAATTACCATTATATGGGAGGTAGGCGTGGTTTTAGTAAATGCTTGGCCAATTGCGTACCGCTAGTTTCTACGTAAAAGGCAATTGCTATAAATTTTTCTCTTACATGTTGTCTAAGCATATAGCGAATACCAACAAATTTGGTTCACTTTCTTTCGAGAAACGTTGTGAATCGGTAATGAAAAGATAATTGTTTACTATAGTTTCGTTTGACAAGTAACTTTGGCAAATTTGGAGTTTTTATACAGGGTGGGCCAAATGAGACCTTCCAGTGTAGCAAACATCATTCATTCACCTGGATTATCTGAGTATAAATTTTCTCCCCAAAAAATTATCCTGAAGAAATTTGGCGTCTGGCCTCTTCGTGTGGGATTCATTTGCAGCTGATGTCGTGATGGATTAACAACCCAAGCCGATGAAAACATCCAATACATCTTAAAGCATAACAATGCCCCATTTCATGTACAAAGCCTTATGCTGAAGAATTGAAAATGCTTTGGGAACTCTACCCAAAAGCGTTTATGAAGAAAAGAAACAATTAATGGGCCTGTTATGTATGGCAGCTGTGGTATGTATAGCGATTCATCTCAGTATACAGAAAAGCGCAGACAACATCCAAATTTACTTTTTTGGCATGTACATTTTGAAGTAATTGGCATCTTTGCTCCAATGTGTTTACCAATTTATGTAAACAAATAAAAAAAGCCGTCATGAAACAAACAGAAAATTGCGCTACTAGACTCAATAGCCGACAGTCAGCCATACGTAATGCGAATCTTAGTACATATATGGTTGCCCATTAACTATAAAAACCTTAGCTTTGCACAGGTATATCGGGAAACCATTCAAGTAGCAGTTACGAAGCTTTTGGTAGACAAACATTTCGGCCTTGGACCTTGGGCTCAAAAACAATGTTCTAAACTTCAAAAAACCAGAGTGTCTAGCAACTCAAACAAGCGCGTCATAATACCAAATGAAAATTTGTTCGAACAGCTCAGACCCCAGTTGACGATTGAGTTTAAATTATAACAAAGGGCCCTTAACCCTTTATGCCCGCTATTTATGTATGAGTGACCCATACGTTTCTATTAGATGCCCTATGATGCTGTCTTACATGCGCATCATATTACTAATTGTTCTTCTTGTGCTTTCTACAATAATTTGCATATCGTAATTAAAATAAGTAGCGGAAATTGTTATTGAAGCAATTATGTGTGCATTAGCAAATATTTCACTGACCATCGCGCTATAAAAAATGCCATGTGTGCGTGTGCATACATACATACATATATGTATGTGTGCATATGTAAAGACCTGATCACACTCATTTGCGTGTTTTGGGCGTAGTAATTAAAATACTTATTGATGAAAATGAATTTCCTTTGCCGTAATTGAATACTTGCCTGTGCTGCTTTAAACAACTGCTGGTGAAGAATTAAGAGTTTAGTGCAGTCGCTGAAGTGATACCCTGCAAAAATCGTTGGACCATGTAGTCTATTTGTGGTATATTGGTGTACTTACAAAAGTGTTCCTCTGTCATGCGGTAGCGGACCAACACGTGTCTCTGCGCCAGCTTATTGTTTGTTACCCGATCACTGCTCGTGTTTTAACGAAATGTGATTGAAGTGGAGCATTTGAAGGCACATTTGCATGTCTGGCTGTAGCTGAACGTGTTAGCTCCCAGCATGTTTGGGTTCGAATGCCGTCAGAGGCAACATGTAATTTTTAATTTTTATTTTGGTTTTTATGAATTTCGAAAAAGCATCTGCGAAGTGAAGTACAAAAGCGTGTACAAACGAAAAAATATAACAACAATGCCATTGTTAATATGTTGGAGTAGTTTTGTGCTACACTGATGTAATGCAGGGATGGAGTATATGGTCCTGCCCTAGGACATCGCAATGTTAATTGGACCATATTTTTTAGATGAATTGTGGTTAATTTTGGAACTCCTTGGTCCTTAGGGAGTACTCTTTACAAGCATGCATGGAGTAGTCGCGATTTTTGCAGGCGCAGTATAAGTATGTACATGTGTACGTATTTATGTAGAAGAATCTCTTGAGATTAATAGGGTGGATCAATATATTGAGCCCTTAGGGTTGCGTAAATCCAACGGCTGTGCTTAGTTTTTGGTTTCAAAATAATCTAGGTAAGGCGGCATCTTTGGCCATTGTGAATGTTTTCTATGAATATCAGGAGACTGCAAATCCCTCTTGACTGGGCTATAGCAAAGTCTCATTATAGGTCTGTTAAAGCATTTGCTTCAAATTCGAAATACAGCTTAACAATATTAGGAGAAATATACCTGCTAAAAGGATGTAATAGGTGGCTTCAGAGCCAAGTTTGTATGAACCTATTCTCCCTTCTGTTGCTATGAATTATAAAATTAGCCAACAATATTATTGACCTAGACGATCAAGAGATGCTGATTGACCTAAACAACATCACAAGCAAAAGTAAAAAGTGTGTGAAAAATGTGAGATAGTCGAATTTAGACACCTGTTCGATACTAGTAAATAATTATTATTAGATCATAAAGCACTGTAAGGGAGTTATCCGCTTCTCTGATCTACATTTCCGAACCGTTTTCTGTACAGGCTATACAGGGTTACGGACAACATCGTCTTATAAGGGCATTATTATTTGGATGATTACAGCTTAATTTAGTTATATTTCATGCCGTCCAAAACTTAACGGGTTTCGAAATATTTAATTTTAAAGATTACACTGGATTACAGCAAAAATGTTCAATGGATGCCACTATCCAATTCCTATAAATTCAGCTTAAAACAAAAGGTAGTTCCACTTAGTCACTTATATCACATAAACCAATTTAACAAACTAAAAATGGAATACGGCAAATAAAACCGAACAAAATTCTACATAGACTGTATTTACATCACTTTTCGATAGGTCGATAGTTTCTAACAAATTANAATATAAAAAAAAATTACTTTAACAACATTATAAAAACCATGATAAAAACATTAGAAGGTAAAACCATTCTCTCAATTCGTCGGCCATGATTTTTTTCTGACGTTTGCAAACATTTTAAAATCATATAAAATTGAAAATAAAAAAATGAAATTGTTCACAATTGTTGTTGTTTGAGATTAAAAATGAGAATTTGTGTGTGAGCTTGAGTACGAACAAGGCGAATTTATATAANAAAACATTACAAGGTAAAATCATTGAGAGGCAGTCTGACGTTTGCCTACATTATAATCAAGGCGAATTAATATAAGGTGATAGCAGGAGTACAAAAACAAAAATTTACATGTATTTTGTTTTTGCTTTGGCGGCATAAACTGTCAAAATCTGTAAGAGTGTGTGTGGAAATTCAAACAAAATTTTTCAATTTGACATAAGAAGCCGTGAGGCGAAACACATACACAAAATCAGCTGATCTAGTAACACCACCTTTTATAAATTCGCCTTGAGTACGAATTTTAAAATTATAATCAATTCGAATTTATATAAGGTGGTGTTACTAGCTCAGCTGATTTTGTGTATGTGTTTCGCCGCACGGCTTCTGATATCAAATTGAAAAATGTTGTTTGAATTTCTACACACACTCTTACAGATTTTGACAGTTTATGCCACCAAAGCAAAAACAAAATACATGTAAATTTTTGTTTTTGTACTCCTGCTATCACCTTATATTAATTCGCCTTGATTATAATGTAGGCAAACGTCAGACTGCCTCTCAATGATTTTACCTTGTAATGTTTTTATCATGATAAAAACTGTTCTTGTCCTTGGAAAAATTGAAATTGAAAAAATGAAAATTGTTGCAGCTTTCTTTCTTAGTAAATTTTTTTGCTTCTCTATTAAATGTATTTCTTGTATTTTTCTTCCGCAAAGGTGCGCTGTCCGCCAGTTCGAGCCTTATACCCGGTGGTCATTGCCGCGACTACAATGGAAAACTCTACGAAACCGGCATGCATTATATGCCCGGTCCGGACTCGTGCCGCCTCTGCATCTGCGATAGTGGTCTACCGAAGGCTTGCAAAATGGTGCTTTGTGAGGCGTTCAGCAAATGCAAATCATTTCAAGTGGGAAACGGCAACAATTGTTGCGAGGTTATCTGCCTCGATGATCAGTTCACAGATGGCAGCACTGACTTCGGCATTTGACTGGTAGCTAGTGGCATTACTGCCACACTTTCATTGTCGTTACTCTTCTTTCTGGTAAATCGTCTTCGACAGCGTAAGATACGTGCACGCGAGAGTCGACAGAATGCCGAAGATCAGCGCAGTATTGTCGGGAGTATTGGGTAAGTGTAGGATTGGGTAGCTAGCGAGCGAGCAAGTAAGATGCTATTAAATGCAAACATTGAATTTTGTCTCCGCTCTTTACAGCTATATAGCCGGCAATATGGGTTACATGGAGGGCAATATGAGTGGCATGGATTATTCCTATGCCAGTGGCGCTTCACACTACCCACTTTGGAAGCCGGCTAGCGGTTATTTTCCGCGCGGCGAAGCTCCACCACCATATGAAGAGGCTGTGGCTATTTCCCAAGCGGAAGCTTTAAGTGCACAATGTACAGTTAGTGTGGCACCGACAGCGCATCGAGCAATGGGTCTCAACAATGCCTCTGTTGCACCGGTGGAGTTGACTACAGAAATGCGACGCAATATGCAGCAGCAGCAACAACAACAGCAGCAGCAGCAGCAACAACAGCAACAAGCCTTGGCGCAACAGCATGCGATACATTTGCATCAGCCGACGTCCCATCACAGTGTTGTTGGAGGTGTCAGTGGCAGCAGTGGGACCGTTTCTGGCATGCCTAATAGTAATCATCATGTTGGTGCACTGACATCTACCGCCCAGCCACAAAATCATCAACAATCGCACAATCAAATAACTCAAAGTACAACCAACCTGATTAATATTAATATCAATAGTGGCGGCAACGTAACCACAATCGCCACGGGCGAAAATCACCAGCCACCATATAGGTAAGATCTTATGTGAACACATATTGCTCATTTACTAAAAATAAGCACAGTTTTTAAAAAGCGGAATATTTAAAGTTGTGTTGCTCCTTTTTCCGGGATTATAATGGAAGTAATTGGACCGGGTAAACTGTCACTTAACTATTCAATGTATGTAAAATGAAGGCGAATAGTTATAATCAGGGAACGGATTTTTAGGACCTAAAAACTTATAAAAAAGGCAAAATAAACTAACGAAATAGGCTAGAAAAGGCAAAATAAAATAGCGAAAAAGGCAGGAAAAGGCACTAGGTATTGCAAAAAAAGCAAAATAAGGCACTAAAAAAAGACAGAAAATACGAAGAACAAACCAAAAGTACATTTATTACAGAAATATTTATATTAAAGTAAAAACATAATCAAATCGCTCAGAGAAATTCGTCGGAAGAAAGTTCGCTGCCAAAATTAAAACACACTGCAGTATATGAGATTTCCCACAACCAAAGCGACGACGAAGTTTGTGTTTGAATGTTGCGGCGAACATCACCCAGCGGCATCGCTCCGATCGACGAAATTCGCGCAGCGATTTGGTTCTGTTTATACTTTTACAAGTAAAAAGAGACAAAGTATGAACTAGTTTCAATATATGAAAAATTTGTACTTTGAATCTTTGACT